CGCAGGACACTCGGATCCTTCTGCAGACAAGCTTTAATGCATAAGCTTACCAGAGCGGAGACACTGAACTAAGAAACCCATCCCTTAAAAAGGCTGACCAGCCGCCTGGGACGTGTTACCCTATGAATGGCTTCAGCTCCTCAGGCCAAATGAGCCACGGGATAGGCAGAGATCAAAGGAATGGAGATTACCCAGCGCCAGTGAAGTAATTTACATCTTGGTGTCTTCAGGCACCATTATTGTAATGGATAATGTAGGAAACGGCCCCCTACAGTCAGGATTCCTGGAGATCTTGCCCCGTGGGAGATGGGTTTCAGGTGAGCCTTCCTCCGCAGTCCCACAGAGGTATGCAGTCACAAGGGGCATGCAGGTGGGTAGGTCATCACAGACCTTCCTCTGCCTCCTGAAAGTGTGGCTTTTCTGAGCTGCTAGAGCATAGCAGGAGCAAGGACGAGTAAAGCCTGCCTTGCTTGGACAGAGGTGGGAGTTGGTGTGAGTGCAGGAAGGAAATAGAAAAAAAAAAAAAAAAAACAGAGTTGTGCTTCAAGGGACAGTAAGGGCTCTGGATTCCTAGCACCCATATGAAAACCTGGCTTGTGTGTCTGTAATTCCAGCTGAGGGACAGGTAGACAGGCAGATCCCTGGTGCTCATTCACCAGCCATTCTAGCCAATCACCATTCTAGCCAAGCAGGGAGCCCCAGGTTCAGTGAGAGACCCTGTCTCAGAAAGTAACATGGAGGGTGATAAAGGGCACCTATCACCTGATGACAACCTTTGGCCTCTGCATGTACATGTTATATGTCTTTACACCCATACAAACACACATGCACACGCACCCACACAGGCACGCATGCATACATGCACACAAGCATGCACAACAATACATCCCTGCTGGGGATTCAGTGGTCAGTAGAGAGCACTTGATGGCATGGGAGAAGCCCTACTTCACTTCCTGTTATGAGTCACTTTTCTTTGCTTGCCTTTGTGCCCCCCTCATCCTGTGCCCCTAAGTCCTGGGGTATGCCCAGAAAGGTATGACTGTGTCCAATGTAGAGAGCAGCCATTCCTTCTTTGAGCTCCGCTGCACACAGGGTGCTCGAGGGACACACTGGCACCTGATGGCCAGGCCTGCTCTAAACACTGCTTTTGCTTTTTACTCTGGAAGCCTTGGTACCACTGGACAGGCAAAGCCGTGTTCTGCCCAATGTTGTGGGGATGTCACACTAGCTGTGTGCAATAAAAAAAAATTATGTGCTTTTGAACTTTTAGTGAAATTTAAGCAGGGGAAGGAACACAGTTTAATAAACAGGTTGCTGACTGAACACATCTGGAAGCCTCTCATGCTCCCTAGGATGGCCAGTTCATCAGAAGTCCAAGCCAGGCCCACTTTCACTCTCTCCCGCTGCTGCTGTGGGTCCAGATGTAGAACTCTCAGCTACTTCTCCAGCACCATGTCTGCTGTGTGCCACCACGCTCCCCATCATGACGGCAATGGACTAGACCTCTGAAACTGTAATCAAACCCCCAATTAAATGCTTTATCTTTAATAAGATTTGCTGTGGTCATGGTGTCTCTTCACAGCAATATGACAAACTGACTATGACCATGCTGTCACATGCACTGTTTAGTTTCTGTATTTCCCTTGCTTTCTGATTCTCAATGCACAAGTGTACTCCATTGTATAGAATCCCCCGCAAGGTCATCAGGTGACTCTTGAGTCATGGGCATTCTTGTGCCTTGTGATGCCCATATGCACATGTTTTTGTTCCTATGGATCTAAGAGGATTCATGAAAGCACAAGGCAGGTGTGCACGCAGCCTCCCACGCAGCCTCCCACACAGCCACCCCCTGCAGCCTCCCCATGTAGCCACCCCACGCAGCCACCACACACTGCCTCCCCACACAGCCTCCCTACACATTGCCATTTTGCCAGACTGTCTCACTGGCAGGATAAGCAGGAGAATTCCATTTTCTCTGGTTTTGTTTTTATAATTTAAAGATGTAAAAACATTGGTGACCTGATTTGGTAACATTTATTAATATGAGAGATATTTATTAGGGAAGTTTTATGCAAAACCTAGCATATTCTCAATTATAAACCAGATAGTAAAAAAAAAAAAAATGAAATTGGGGGCTGTAGAGATGGTCCAGCAGTTGAGAGCACTGGCTGCTCTTGCAGAAGGTGGTTCCCAGCACCCACATGCAGCTCAGGACTGCTGTAACCCCAGTTCCTGAGGATCTCAGCCCCTCTTCTCCTCTCCATGGGACCAAGCATGCACATGGTGCACAGACATACATAACAGTCAAAAGAAGTAAATATTTAAAGCAAACAGAAAGGTGAAACCAGCTCTTGATCAGCTCTGTGCCCTCACCAGCATTTGGCACAGACTGAGGATCCCTCATGCACAGACAGAAGCATTTCAGATTTCAGAGTCTTGGATTTGGGGATATTTACATAGACCTTACCAGTTGAGCCCCCTTACTTAGTAAAATGCTCTGAAATCCAAGCTTTTTCAACATATCTCTCAAAAGGCTTTGAATGTGTGGACTAGGGATGGCTAACTTGTACAAGTGGCTGGGCTAGCTACCACTTTTCCCCTGGGGCCCTCCTGCCATTTCCCTGGTGCTCGGTAAACTTGAGTTTTTTACACTGTACCATGCTTGTTGAGGATGTCTCGAGATGGCTGCTATATTCTGTCTTTTCCTTTCTGATCTGAGGTAGTCCTAGATGGAGTTTGGGTGAATCTACTCTGAGGACCACGGTGATGTGAGAACTGAGTCCCATTAGGTGGAGAGAGATGAGGGCAGCATCTTCTCCCAGCTCTGCTTTGGTGAGCATGGTGGCAGCATGAGCTCTGTTCAGTGCCGTCTAAGTGTCTATATAATGGGAGTCGGAGCTGGTTGGCCAACACAGTGTACTCTGCAGATGTCGGTCGGTCTCTGGATCCTTCCACACTCCGAATGTGTTGTGAAGAACAGGCAGAGTAAACCTGAAATCTGTGCTACTCTCTTCTGACTCCTTTTGTGCTTAGATCTTCCCTTGCCTGCCCCCTCCATGCCTCTCTGCGGTATTCTGTATGTCAGTCAGTCATGGCCGGTTGGGACATCATCCCTTCAGCTTGTTTTTCCCTACTGATGCAGCACTGCCATGCTCTGTTGTGAAGGTTGGTCACAAGGGGCTCAATAGGGGCTCAATAGGGGCTTAGGTCTAGCCTCTGCTCTTCTCTGTAAGCCCCAGTTGGGGCAGGGTGTGCCATCTTGTACATCTCACAGAGGTACATTGAGCAAGTGGAGACTCTGGCTTATTGACCTGTTAGGCCTAGGATGACAGAGTTCACAGCCTGCCTTTCCTCTTCCTCCTCATCCCTTTACCCTTGCAGGATCTATGTCATCTCATCATGCCCAAATCTGTGCAGCAGAGCTCACTTCAGCTCCTCCAAGCTCCTGTCAGCCTTGTGCTCTGATTCCACAGTCCTTCCTTTCCAACCAGGTTTGACTGGTGGAAATGGGCAGCCATGAAGGCCACTGTGCGCCCTTGGCTCTTTGTCATTCTGTTCTGGTGCTCCCAGTACCCACCTCTCCAGGGTGCCCTGGTCCCAGCACTCAGGTCCCTCCTTCCATTGCCTTCTTCCTCCCCCTGCACATGGCAGGGACTTGCCCTGCACAGGTCATCCAGCAGCCTCTGCCTACATCAGCTGTGGCCTGTGCAGAATGACTGAATAGTTTCCATGTTGTCAGTCCACACAGACTGCACATAAACCATGTGTTTTCTCTGGTTCTTGGACACTAATGTTCCCTTATTAAGGCCTAAGTCAGCCTTCCGGCTCCTGTCCATCCTCTCTGACTCCTTTTTTATTACTACAAAACGGGGTCTGGTTATGGCTGTGGGCTCGCTCGGCTGTCCGTTCCCCCACCCCATGCCCTTATTGCTCGTTTTGAAGTTTGGTTTGTTTTTCTGGAACTTGCCAAATTGCTTTAGGAAACTGGGAACCCTGTGAATGGATCATTGAAGGAAATCCTTGTCTTTGGAGGAAGCAGTCCCTGCATGTGTGTGTGTGATACTCTTGGCCAGTTTGTATTTTAGGGAAACATTTTCTGGGGCAGGTCAGTGTTCCAGAGAAGAGGAACAGTTAGTGCCTGGGGTGAAAAAGGAACATATCTTCCCACAAAAAGTCACTGTGTGAATGTCATTCTGCCCAAATAAACAGAAAACCTTCACTGGCTTCAATCAGAGAGCGAGGGAATTCCACTCTCTGTTCATTGTTTTCCTGTTTCTCCATTTCCTTTGCAAGCTGAGGCCACTGATTTCCCAACATGTGTGATGCTGCTTGATTTCTTGCTGGCCCTATTACACTCAATCACTTTTCATTTTAGCCTGAAGTGACTGCAGGTGGGGGAGACTACAGTTATTTCCTGCTGTTTGGTCTGAAAAAGAAGAGAAGAGGAACTATTAGACAAGGCCCATAAAAATACCAACATCTACATTTTGAGATGTTTGAATATCAATTCCTGTCTAAATAATTACTGTTGAGGGGAGAAAGGATGCTAGAGTTTAGAGACTATAACAACAACTTATTATTCTCCCCTAGCAACCATGTGGAAGGTGACACGTGTCTTGTATTTCTGTAGACGGGCTGACAACATAATACACGCTATGGCTTTTTAGGCCCTATTCTTTTAATCATGTGTACAGATGACAGTGGAGGGGGTTACTCAGAGGTATTATTTTCCTCAGAGAGAGGGGACAAGACACAAGGCAGGGACACTTGGGTCACCCAGATCTCCCAGGATGGCTGGTAATGGCTTCCTCATAGGAAGAGAGGTGTCCTGGTCCCCTGTGTTCGGGGCTATATTAATCACACGTGTGATTTACTGGGCACTGAGGCCTTTGATGTATTTCTCCAGAAAATTGGGGGTCTTTTATGCTATTGTGTTTCAAAATTATTGATAAAACATCTCCATCTCCCTGTTTGTTTCCCTTTTGTGGTCAGCTGTCGAAATGGGTTGTAGTTTGAACAAGCTGGAGAAACATGAAGAGAAGCGGCCTGGGAACATTTACTCAACTCTCAAGAGACCTCAGGTGGAGACAAAGATAGATGTGACCTATGAATACCGCTTCCTAGAGTTCACCACGCTGACTGCCGGTGAGTACAAGGCCTGTTTTCTGTAGGCAGAGCCTGGCACTTAATTGAGAAACAAAGGCTCAACCGTACATAATTTTGAATCCTGCTCTTTGGCAACTTAACAGTGCAGAGTGAGGTGTACACCATGCCATCTGTGTACTCCGAGAGTGTGATTTAATGGCTTGGTGTGATTTGATCACCCTGTGAACTATGATCTGCATAGCAGTCCCCTTTATTGGACTTTTAAGTTATTTTCGGATCTGAGATATAAATATGTTGTGGTAAGCACTGTTGTACATAAGTCTTCGTGTGCATGTCTAGTGATTTCCTCAGGAATTGCCAGGTGAAGGATACAGGCCTCAGGACTCTGAGAGATGCCAGCTTACCTTCTAGGCAGGACGGGGCAGGTTTCTCGGGACAGATGTGGTGAAGGTTGCCCATGTTCTGGCTGTCTACTACCTAGCACTGCCTTTGTGGACTCTCTCCATGATTATTTTTAAAATTTATTAATTACTTTATTTATTCTGGTTTTTGAGACAGGGTTTCTCTGTGTAGCCCTGGCTCTCTTAGAACTCTGTCTATAGACCAGACTGGCCTCAAACTCATAGATTCTCCTGCCTCTGCCTCTTGAGTGCTGGGATCAAAGGAATGTGCCACTACTGCCCGGCTTCCCTTGTCTCTTATGAAGAACTGTGTCTAAGGCTGGTGCATGTGCTCTCCCAGGGCCCTCTGTTCCCAGCTATCCTGTGTAGCCCCACCCCTTCCTGCTACCAAGTTCCTGCTGAGCTGGAACTGTTCCTTCTCCTCCATCCCTTCAGGGTTACCCTCTTCTGTCAATTGATCCCAAATACACTTTTACTCCAGCATTTGAGCCTGTTGTGTCTCCTTCATGGTGAGGACCAGCTGTTGTTTTCTTTCTAACTCACTGAGACGGGCTTGTCCTAAGGGGTCAGGCCTTGGTAACCTTGGAAGTTGGCTAGTGAACTTGTGAGTCGGGGCCACCCACTTGTCTAAGGTAGTGTCTGCAGCTGCTCTGAGCCCTCTCCACTCTTGGGCACAAGCTAACATTTGTTGAGTGCCTGCTATGTGCTGGGCCCTGGTCTTCACTGCGCTGATTGTGCCTCGGTACTCAGGAGATGTCACCGCGGCAAGCTGTAGGATGTCATCGCCTGCAGATTCCTGTGTCCTGTCGTTGCTCTAACTCTGCATCCCAGACAACCACCAATTAGCTTTCTTCTGTGATTTTTTTTTAGAGTTTTACCTATTTGGAATCACCCAGTCTGCCTCCTTTCATCCTGGCCCCTCCTGCTCATGGGGTTTCTTTGTGTCCTTGAGCTTGCCTGCTGTGTCAGTGTGTGACAGCCAGTACCAGTGTGTGACAGCCCGGGATGTGGCTGACAACAGGTTGTTTCTCATTTACCTATGAAGGATATTGACCTCAGTCTAGTTTTGTCTGTTATAGGTGCAGTTCCTCTAAATATTCCTCTTTCTGTGGCCTTTTGATGTTCTATTCTTGCAGCAATCCGAGTTACCTGGGTACACTCTATCCTTGTAGGTAAGGAAGTGGAGTCTCAGGCAGGTCCTGCTAAAAACTCGGTGCCAGGAAACAAAGTTCAAACCTAGATCTCCTCAGCTAGGAGGCCTGAGACCTACCTGTGTGGTTGGAGTCAGCCAGGCAGAAGATAATCAGAAGAGAGTAGGAAGGCACTGTCCTTCCACAATGTAGGAAGGACGGAGTCAGTGACAGACTAAACCCAGAGGTACCACTGTCTATGTGGGAAGCTGCAGGTGGTCCAGTTGGCTTGGAGTATAGCCTTTGGGAACAGTACGTGGCAGTCATATGATGAGATGGCTCAGTGAATAAAGTGTTTGATCCCAGAACCAGACATGGTGGTAGTGGAGAAGCCTTTGATGTCCTCTGGGTAACTATCCCAGCCAGATTGGTGAGCTCCAGGTAAAATTGAGAAGCCTTGGAACAGAGGCCAAAGTGGAGAGACACTGAGGAAACATCCAAGATTGACCTTGGACTCTATGTGCACTCACAGTCTCACATATACAGGTCCCTGCATACAGACATGACATGTGCGCGCGCGCGCGCGCGCGCGCGCACACACACACACACACACACACACACACACACACACACACACGGTCTTAGTTGTGGAGCTGATGAATTCAGGCTCTCTCTCTCTGGAAGCCTGAAAGATGAACACCGTTGGATTTTGGGAAGACGTTTCTGAGTTTAAACGGAAGAATGGAAGGGCACAACTAAGAGAATGAACACTATTTGGAAGTCATTGAACAATTACATAACAAGTAGGTAGCCTCAGTCAGCATAGACACTGTGGGGACAGTAGAAAGAGGGGGTCAGAAGAAATCAGGAACAGTCCTGGGGATTGCCAGGAACTCAGGCAATGGTGTGAGTTCACACAGTGGGTGCTCTAACTGTGCCTTAGGTGTCCATCATCTGAAGCACCAAGAGCTGGGAAAGGAGTGACTTCTCCTTACATGTTTCTTTATTCACTCCTAGCTTTCAGAAGGTGTGAGAGTAGAAGCACACATGTTTCAGCTCTTACGTGGGCCTTACCTATGACATGGGAAGCACATGTTTCAGCTCTTACATGGGCCTTGCCCGTGGCATGGGAAGCATAAGGTTCAGCTCTTAGGTGGGACTTGCCTGTGGCATGGGAGGATGGGAGCATGGCCAGCCTGGGAGTCCCATTGCACTCTGGGTATACTGTTCAGTAACTTGAATGATCTCATTGGGACTCATCTTCATACAACAGAACACACCCACATTAAGTACAAAGTGTTGACAGGTGTAAACATCTTTAAAGTTGCTACAACATTCAGGACAGAGACCTTTGCACAGGTGTGTTGGTCCTTATACCCCTGGTGTGCCAGCAGTGGAGGCAGGAGGGTTCTGGGTTCGATGCCTCAACCATGATCTCCTTTTGGCCTTTATATTGGCTTTGCTTCATTTCCATTTTTCCCTTTTGAATGACATGTAAATGGAACCCTACAGTGTGTCAGCTTTTTGGTCTGGCTCCTTTAATCTGGTCCTCTGAGCACACACGTGTCTGCGCGAGTGTGTGTGTGTGTGTGTGTGTGTGTGTGTGTTATGAAACAAATATGTCAGGTGTGTAGTTGTTAGGATGTTTGGCATGTGTGAGTTTAAAAGGTGCTGCCTCATTGCTGTCCAAGCCTTTGCACATTTCCAACAGTGACAGTGGGAATGGCTAGACTACTTTTTTTTACATGAATTAGAGATACTCTGGATGTGGTGTTTATACCATTCTGTCTCTCTGTCTCTGTCTGTCTCTGTCTCTGTCTCTTTTTCTTTCTCTAAGACAGAGTAGCCCCAGCTGTCCTGGAATTTGCTAGGACATCTGGGCTGGGTCCATGCTTGTAGCAGCCATTCTGCCTTAGCTTTGTGAGTTCTGGAATTACAGGCGTGTGTCATCCATCATGTCTTACTTACATGACCCTGGAGGGGGCTCAGGGCTTTGTACATGCTAGGTGAACACTTGGCCAGCTGAACTGCATCTCTAGTTCCTGTTTTCATTATTATTATGACTCTTTTGAACAGAGAAACAGCACCCATGTAAGGCAGGCTTAGCTTCTTTCATAAAATAGAAAAGTAGACAGAACCAGCAGAGGCAATGAAAGTAATTAGCTGCTTGGCCCCAAGCGGCCAAAGATTGGTAGGAGGGTCCCTGTGTTCTGAGTGGTACCACTCTGTACTTCCTGGATCCCTGAATCTCTAGCCTTCTGCAGCAAGTAAAAACTAAACTCAAGAGCTCCTACACTAAGGCTCTGACGTCTTTTTGCCCCACTGCCTGCCCTGCACCTTCAAGCTCGCCTCCTTTTCCCTCCTGTTCTTGTAAACTGTTTCCATGACCCACAGCGCATTCCCACAGCAGGCCCCATGACCACATTTTAGAAATTCCCCTCCCTGTGGTTTTCCTGCCAAGGGCTCTGCAGGAGCTGACTTTTGGGATTTTTCTCTGACATTACGTTGGCCAGACTTAGACTTGATGTTTGCCGCCAGCCTTCCACCCTTAAGTGCTGAGTGTGAATTCTGTCTGGTTGTAATAAGAACACAGGGGACGGGGACGTTTGTTGTTCAAAGCATGCGCGCTGTGCAACGAATCATGGACAGGCCCCCTGTCGCTTAGCTTCCAGGGAGGGCAGCTTCAGCTCTAAACACCACTATGAAAGTCTGGAATTTCAGTCTGGAATTTGTTCCCTTACCAGACTGTTCCCCTGACAGCTTTTGTCACATTCTGAAAATTACTTTGTCATCGTTATTGCTGTTGCTTACTGGTGAGTTTAAAAACCCTGCTGCTATTGCCCAGGGGTGGCAGTGGATGTGATGGACAGGCGGAGGGAACAGCACAGAAACGGCAGAACCAGTCCTGAGCTCAGAGAGCTGCTCTGTAGGCCAGGCTGCCTGTGACTTGTCCCAGGGCTTCCTGGACCCTGGATCCTCGGGTCTGCTTTGGGGTCCCTCGCTCAGCAGGTCTGAGGAAAGACCTTTTGAACCTTCATCTGTAATGAGTTTCAAGTATGGGAAAGCTACTGGCCAAGGACCACAGTTGAGAACTTTCTACGTTTTGCATTTCCTCCACCCGAGTGAAGGTGGTGCCAGTGGTAGTGTTGGTGTGAGTTGTTAAGACAAAATATGTTCAATAATCACAAATCTACCTAGACATAAGCCATCATATGCATATGCTTTATTTCCTTAAATGGCTTCTGTTTGGGAGACGGGGCTGATAGGCGGTTTTTTTAACGCTGACATTAGGTTTCTCCGCTGATGCAGTAAGCCACATCAAGCCAAATTAAAAAACCAGGTTTAATCTGAGCAAAGCAACTCCCTGGTGAGTCTCGGGAAAAGAAGCAGGAGAGAAATCATATGGTGGTTCTAGAAAAGTGGGGTTGGGGTGGGTGGGGGTGGGGGGGGTTAAATACCCTGTAGGAGTGGTCTTGACCAGCTCTGGGGGAGGAGCTGACACTTGGTG